TCCAGTTGCATATTTTTTTTGCTCTCCTGTCTAGCAGAAATCAATGTGTTGGACAATTTGATTGTGCATTTCTAGAACAGGACAAAACAGGCAAAATCTGCTTTTATTGTTTTAGCTGAAATCATTTCTCGCATATGAGTCAAAAGTCAGTTCCTCATTCCTTGTGTCACTATAGACACAGAGACAAATTATATATATGTTGTGAGAGAGAGAGAGAGAGAGAGAGAGAGAGAGAGAGAGAGAGAGAGAGAGAGAGAGAGAGAGAGAGAGAGAGAGGGAGAGAGAGAATGAATTAGTTTGGTAAGGTTGCCTCAGCAAAAGACAACAAACTGGGTGGCTTAAGACAGCAGAAATTTCTTGTATTGTCTCACATTCTGGATGCCAGAGAGGTTGATTGACAGGTGCAGATAAATAGACACACTGACTAATACACAGGTGCATAGACACACAGATACAGATTACTGGTTACATAAATAGATAGGTAGATACACAGCATCTCCAACATTTGCCGTCAACAGACACCATTAACTTCTCTTCTCTCTCTAAGTTTTTCTAACATCAGGCTAGAAGAAAAATGGTTATCCAGCTTTATTGAGAGTCAGTAGGAAAATATAAGAGTAATTTAAGATGATCATGTGTAAATATCTGAAAAACAAAGAGAGGATTCAATTTTGAGCCAAAAATTGTTTTACAGTAGAATATAATGAGTTAGAAATCTTTTTCTTCATTCTTTAATATACTTTATTGGTTATGCTATTACAGTTGTCCCATTTCCTTTTTTTATTCCTCTCTGCCCTGTACACACCTGCCACTATCATTCCCCCAACTTAGTTCATGTCTGCGAGTTGTACTTACAAGTTCTTTGGCTTCTCTATTTCCCATGGTATTCTTAACATCCCCCTGTCTATTTTACCTACCTTTTATGCTTCTTATTCCCTGTATCATTTCCCCCATTTTCCCCCTCCCCCTCCCCACTGATAACCCTGCATGTGATCTCTATTTCTGTGAATCTGTTCCTGTTCTAGTGGTTTGCTTAGTTCATTTTTCTTTTTTTTAATGCTAAGATACTAATAGTTGTGAGTTTGTTATCATTTTACTGTTCATAGTTTTGATCTTCTTTTTCTTAGATAAGTCCCTTTAACATTTCATATAACAAGGGCTTGGTGATGGTGGACTCCTTTAACTTGACCTTATCTGGGAAGCACTTTATCTGCCCTTCCATTCTAAATGATAGCTTGGCTGGAAAGAGTAATCTGGGATGCAGGTCCTTGCCTTTCATGACTGTGAATACTTCTTTCCAGCCCCTTCTTTCCTGAAAGATTTTTTTTGAGAAATCAGCTGATCGTCTTATGGGAAGTCTTTTGTAGGTAACTATCTCCTTATCTCTTGCTGCTTTTAAGATTCTCTCCTTAATTTCAATCTTGGCTAATGTAATTGTGGTGTGCCTTGGTGTGTTCCTCCTTGGATCCAACTTCTTTGGGACTCTCTGAGCTTCCTGGACTTCCTGGAAGTCTGTTTCCTTTGCCAGATTGGGGAAGTTCTTCGTTATTTTTTCAAATCAAATAAGTTTTCAATTTCTTGGTCTTCCTCTTCTCCTTCTGGCTCCCCTGTGATTCAGATGTTGGAACGTTTAAAGATGTGCTAGAAGTTCCTCAGCCTCTTCTCATTGTTTTGAATTCTTGTTACTTCATTCTTTTCTGGTTGCAAGTTTATTTCTTCCTTCTGCTCCAAACCATTGGTTTGAGTCCTGGTTTCTTTCCCATCACCATTGGTTTCCTGTAGATTTTTCTTTACTTCACATAATGCAACCTTCAGTGCTGCCTGGGTCTTTTTTAATCTTTTGAAGTAACTAGTGAGTTCCTAGAACATCCTGATAACCAACCAGTGTTTTGAACTGTGCATCTGATAGGTTGGCTATCTTTTCATTGCTTAGTTGTATTTTTCCTGGAGCTTTGAACTGTTCTTTCATTTGGGCCATTTTTGTTTTTGTCTCAGTGCACCTGTTCTGTAGTAAAGGGCGGAGCCTTAGGTATTCACCAGGGCAGGGCAACCCTCCTGGCTGTGTTTGATTCTGTGTTGGGAGGGGTCTGAGAAGTAACAGTGCTGCTTGCTCTGCTCTCTGCTCGTTTTCAGTCATTTCCCCAGCTCCCCACAATCAAATTTGGCCCTTCTGGTGTTGATTCCTGGGTGGATGGGTTTGTGTACTTTCTAGGAACTCATGGGTCTGTCCAATCAACTCTCCTTTGGGTCTGGGAGTTTCTCCTGCTGGAGCCTCAACCCCTCTGAACCTGAAAGACCACAGGTTTTTCAGTCAGAGGCTTTGAAGCTTTATTTTCCTGTGCTTGGACACTGGGTTGTGTGGTCTGTGTCGCTCCCCAGTTGTTCCTCCCAGTTTATCTGACTGTCAATGTGGGACTGCTCAGTCTGCCAGCCACTGCCTTCCCCACTCTGCCAGTCGCCACCTTGCTGTGAAATCTCTCCAACTAGCTACCCATCTCTGCCCTTCCCACAGGTCTGGATGAATGTTTCTTCTTTACCTCCTTGGTTATCGAACTTCCGTTCAGTAGAACTTTCTGTAAGTTCTCATTGTGTTTTGTTTTTAAATTTGTTGTTGTCCTTCTTTTGGTTGTGCAAGGAAGCACATTGTGTCTACCTACACCTCAATTTTGGTTGGAAATCTTTGAGTTAGAAGTCTGAGAGGGGAAATACTCAATTGAATAGACACGTTAAAATAATTCTTCCTCCATGTGGTTTGGCTCAGTAGATAGAGTGCTGGCCTCTGAACTAAAGAGTTGCTGGTTAAATTCCTAGTGAGGACACATGCCTGAGTTGTGGGCCAGGTGCCCTGTAGGGGGTACATGAGAAGCAACCACACATTGATGTTTCTCTCTCTATCTTTTTTTAACTCCCTTACCTTCTCTCTAAAAATAACTAAATGAAAAATTTTTTTTTAAATAAAAATAATTTTTCCCATGATGGATGAGACACAGCTGAAGTTCCAAAATGACAGTGGAATATGATTTTGGGGAAATTTCCAAAATGCAGCTTAGAGAGACCTGCAATGGGGAATGAAGGTACTTGGGGACTAGAGTGAGGAGGGCAAATGTCATATCTATGGTGTCAGAAGGAAAGAAGTGAGCGTGACATTTAGTAACAGCTCCAGAGAACAATAATAAAAAATTTTACAGAGATGAGGAAGGGGGTAAGCTAAGTGACAGGAGGTATGTATGTAAAAATAAAATCAATATCTTGTCCTTGTGGTAATTGAAGGAAATGAAGGATGAATTAAAATGAAAAGCTCATATTTTAAATTGGATTGTACACATTAAAAAGATAAGTTTTATTTTATGTGCATTGCACTCAAAATCACATCAAGAGCCTCTGGGAGTAAACCACTCAGCTGGGAGTGAACCCCTCAGGTGGGAATGTGTGAGCCGGTTGCTGCTTTGAGAAGATAGCCCTCTCTGGGAAAAGATTGTGGGAGTGAAGAGGGGATGATGAACTGTGATAAAACTCCAGCCCTAATCTAGCACAGAGGTGATGAGCTAATCAGTACTTTGTGTGGTTTATGAGAATTTCTCATGAAACCCAACGTAGCTCCCATAACACAAATACATTTGAAGTTGAGTGAAAAGAGGCAGCAACATTTCTTTGTCATTGTCTCAGTCAAGGAGGTGTGCAGAGAGTGTGCTCTGTTCTGATGGGCTAAGAGGGTGCCCATGACAAGCCCAGTGTGGCCATGACCCCGGTGTGTGAGTCTGGGGAGGAGAGGTGAGTACTGGGAAGGGTCTGCTTTGTAGGGAGGACTTGGTTCTGCTTAGGACAGAGAGGTTAGGTCAGCCTGATCTTCCACAACATGGAAGTTCAGGTGGGGGTCCTTGAATGTGCTGGAATGAGGTGGAGACCTGTGGAAAGGCTTTGTGCAGGTGGTGGTCTGTGACAGGTAAGTTCAGGTGCATGGGAGTAAACCCCTCAGCTGGGAGTGAGGGTCCACAGGAGGCCAGAGATGAGGCTGATGCGGTCACATGCCCATGATGTCCTGGGACTTCACCTGAGTGTGACAGTGGAGGGGAACCGGATCACAGAAAGAGAGCTGTGGGTGTGTTCATTGTGTGGGGGAAAGAGAGGGATGAGCTGAGGGTTTGTCTGCACTCTGTCTGGGTGGCCTGGGGAGCCTATGGGAGTGTCCCAGGACTGACCACCCCACTGAAGGGCAAGAGGCAAGGGGAGAGGATTACAGCAGTCACCTGACCCACAGAGAGAGCCACCCACTGTCCTGGCTGAGTGTGTGAATTTGTCTCTCCCTCACACTTCCTCTCTCTGACTTCCTCATCTCTGTGAGCAGGAGACCTTCTCTCCATCCCTCCCATCCATGCCCCTGAGCATGTCTGCCTCCTCACTGCCCTGCTGTGTGAGGGGTGACCCTGCTTCTGACACTGGGACACTGGTCATTTTGTCTCCATGTGCTGGGCAAAAGCACCAGTTGCAGACAATTCACAAGTTTTAATCTAAAACAAGAGGAAACATTATTGACCATCTATTCTGAGCCAGTCCCTTCCCTTCTCCCTTTACCCTCGTTGGAGACAAGGGTGGAAGCTCAACTCTCACGGGTGTTGTGAGGATCAGTGGTGCCTGAGACATGAAAAGGCTCCATCTGTGTCATTCCTGGACTTGATTAAGAGGTAGGCATGAGAGTGTTTGGGAGGAAGGGCTACTTGACAGCCGCACATGTATCCCCCAAGCCTTCGGGGGGCATCAGAAGCTACAGGGCATCCTTGGTTGAATGGCAGGTGAGCCCAGACTGAGGGGAAACAGGAAGGATACTGCTCATCCTGGATCCCGCACTCACCACACTCAGGAGTGATGGTGGGAATCCCACCAGGGGCTGAGCACTGGGCACTGAGGGCATCTCAGACCTGGTGGGAGTCTCATCTTTCATGAGATTGCCTGGGGATATGAGGCCACTTGTGAGGCAAAAAGGATCCACAGGGAACCATGGCGACTTACTTACATTTCTTTTTAATAAGTTCCTGTAACATAGAATTGAGCATTTTAAACTATACATTTCACTGGAATGTAGTAAATACACAGCAGATGGACCACAGATTTTATCTAGTTTTAGTAACAAATTTGTGTAACCCCACACCCAAATTACATGAAGCCTTCAGTCTCCCATCTCTCTTTCTCGTCATCCCCTGACAAGCCCACCTGACTTCTGTCTCTGTGGGTTTCCTCCTCCTGGATGCTTCATACAAATGCAGTCACAGAAAATGTGATCTTTTCTCTCTGGGTTCTGTCATTTAGCTGCAAAATGTTTACATTCACCCACCAGGTAGCAGGTGTCAGTACTTTGTTTTTATGGCTGAAAAAACCCTCCCTGGTTATGAAGACACCAGATTTGTTTATATGAGTGGGATCCAGCATGGAGGGTTGTGTAGATGTGAACCCAAACCAGCCATGTGGTGCTGCCTTTCAGGTCACAGTGGTGAGAACAGGACAGTCAAGGGGAGTCAGTGAGGATGAGGAGGGACAGCCCCACAGTTGGATGTAGGAGGCATCTCCACAGGAACACGGCTCATGTTTCCTGTCCCCAAACCTCATCTGCCACCTCTGCTCCCCTGGACACATCAGCAGACAGTTTCCCCACCTGTGGTCCAGCTGTCCTTCCCCACATCCTGGGTCATCAGATGGGTATGGTTCCCTCTCTCTGAACGATGCCCTGTGCCCTCTGTGTTCATGTTCTGGCTGCAGCCTGGGTCCTCCTCTGGCTGTCTTGAGCCTGAAGCAGCAGCACCCCGAGCACCACCAGGACCAACCCAGCCACACCCATGCGGATCAGGTTCACCACTGTGGTTTGGGAACCTGCAAAATGGGGAGACAGATGTCACCATGGTCAGGCAGTCCCTAATCCCCAGGGTTCTAATATCTCCCCCACGGTCCCTCCTCCCATGGACGTCAGCATCGCTGGGACATCTGAATCCAGCTCTGGCTCCCAGCCACTGTGAGGAGAGTGAGCTGTGCATAAGAAGTCAGGTTAGGGGAAAAAAATGGTCTCATTTCAGGAACAATGTAGAGCTGCTGTGAGTTCTGTGTTCAATCTGAGATTGAAGACCCAGAATCTTACTGCCCTGGAGCTGAGAGATCCCACATTTTCCACCTGCGGGGGCCCAGGTCCATGGAGGAGGGGTGGTGTTGGGGGCTCCTGAGTGGCAGGAACACAAAGGGGTGAAAGCCTGGGGCAGCGTCCCTTTCACCCCACTCTGGGGTCTGCTGTTTAATCATCACCTGGACATTTTCATCTGTTTATTGTTTCATTAGTTCATTTTATATAATAACAAAACTACCACGGGAGATAAAATTACCAGATTAGATATATGGGCATGTGGATGAACATTTGTAGATATAGTGTAGGCACATAAATTTAATATCTGTTTTAGAGTAAATACGGGGTGAGAGAAGAGTAGGTTTACAGTTGTGAATTCATGAAATACAGAGTTATTTATTGTGTTATTTATTAATTGTTGCATTATATTTTGTACAAACAACTTTAATCCTACTTTTCCCTCACCCTCTCTATGTACATTTTATAGAGTGTATTATAAAATGTCATATAAAATGAATCTGTATATATAGTTATACATATAACCACTCATATAAATACTAACTTATATATCATCACCTGTATCTACATATATTTGTGTGGTGCTGATAATTATTGTTGTGTGTATGAGGACAGAGAGACACGAAAGAAACAGGTGATAGCCCTGGCTGGCGTAGCTCAGTGGATTGAGCGTGACCTGTGAACCAAAGTGTCGTAGGTTCTATTCCCAGTCAGGGTACATGCCTGAGTTGGAGGCTTGACCCCCAGCAACCATACACTGATGTTTCTCTCTCTCTCTCTCTCTCTCTCTCTCTCTCTCTCTCTCTCTCTCTCTCTCTCTCTCTCCCCCTCCCTCCCTCCCTCCCTTCCCTCTCTAAAAATAAATAAATAAAATCTAAAAAAAAGAGAAACAGGTGATAAGGAGGCAGGTCCCCCCAAAAGGGTCTAGTCTGGTCTTCCACGGGGAATGAAGTCTCTTCCGTGGGACGTAGGGAGGGGCCAGAGGAGAAGGGGGACTGGGACTTGGGTCCTTGGAACATGGGGTCAGAGGTCAGGTCAGGACCGAGAAGGGGCAGGCACCATCTTCTTCTCCTTTTGGACAAACTCTAGGAAGTGTGGCAAGATTTCATGGATGGACAGCTAATCATGTGCTTTGTACCCCAAAACACAACCTCCATGCACTACTTAGCAATGCTGCTAACCAAGGAAGCCCGCAGTTGTGATTTTCAAAGTTAAGGAACAGAGAAATTGCCCCAAGTTGTACTGTTTTGTGAGCACCAAAAGTAGGAAATTATGGGAATCTGCTTCCCCACTTGATATAGAAAACAAGATGTAACAAAATTATTGTCTTGTCCTAATTCCAAAGATGTACACAAAAATTGTAAATATCAGCTCACACAATTCAGAAAATGCACATGGACAATAAATGTTATTCATTTGCACTAATATCCAGGTGGTTAGAAACAAGAAACTTCTATAATTGTGACTCAAGTGGTTATAAATCAGGCAGAAAAGATAATTTTTAGGAGATCAGTAAACATGAGTTAAAAAAGCATCCCTAATAAGACTCTAATGAAACAGAAAAACACATTGAAACATAAAAGTCAATAGTGTATTTGATATAAAATGCAGACATCTTAATGAGTTTGCCTTGAAATAATTTGGGCTATGAATAAAACTCTTTTTCACAGGTAAAGCTGTGGAATGTTTTACTTGGTCTTTTTATTACGAGGAATTTGGAGAAAGAAAAATAGGTATACAGTGTGACATAAGTGAAATGACCTTTGATTTGTGTTATTATAATTTTCTCAGTGTATCAGTGAGATCAATTGAGAAACAATCCAACAGGAGGGGATTTTAGGAAGCTGTACTGGTCAGGAAATAAATATGCCCAAGCCAATAGCTTCCCTACATGTACTTACTACTATTTAGACAGCATAAAGGAATCTAATAGCTTACACACAAATTACATTATTAGATGTGCAGTTCTGAAAGTTGGGTGCAAATTTACTCAGTTTTACAAATACCTATCAAAGTGCTTCTGAAGTTCACTAAAATCTCATTTAAAATACGTGTAATGCAAAGACTTAATAGTAACAAGAAGTAATTCTCCACAACAAATTTCTGAATTTTGTCTTCTCTATGAAAATAGGAATAGCATTATAGACATTTGAAGGTTGACTCCATATAATGTAAATTACACTGTTACTCTGTATACTGACACACTGCCCAAAAGGTCTCAGAAAAGAACAGGAAAAGACAAGGGCCCCCAGAACCACGCAGCAGGCAGGGGAGCCCTCAGTGTGGGTGGGAGTCCCCAGATCCTCCTGAGCAGGGCACAGCTCCTCCTCACTCAGGTAAGCACTAAGTCCTAGAGGCTCCAGGTGAGCCCAGGAGCCTGTAGAGCTGGACACTCAGGGGAGGGGAAGCTGCTTTCTCTGGGAGAGGGCCCAGTGGGGCCTGGACCCCAGGGACTCAGACTCTGAGATGAAGATGCAGGGGGTGAGTGGAGCAGGGGATCTGTCCTCTCTGCTCAGTCTAATCACCTTCCTCCTCACTTCTCACACATCTCACTCCTCCCTCCTGCTCTTTCTCTCTGCTGAGATTCAGAACAGGGGGCTCAGGGGTGGGAGGCCCTGTCTCTTTCCCCCTCTCAGGGGCTGTTCCCTTCTGTGGAGCCTCCTGCACTCCTCATTTATTTCTGTCCCTGACTTTCCTAGGCACAGGGCCCTGAGCTGAGTGAGCACAGACATGACAGGGTCAGGGCCTCACCTGACACCAGGAGCTCCATGGGATCACTGGGCTGTGACAACAGGTAGGGGTTGCTGGGGTTTGCACTATAGCACCTATAGTTCCCCCCATGGGCTGAGGTAACAGGACCCATGGAGAACTCTGCCTGGTGCTGCTGAGCTTGGGACTGTGATCTCAGTGTCAGAGGGGGATCAGCTGCCCCCTCCTTGGACAGAAAGAAAATGTCCCTCGGGCTCCATGACTGACACAGCAGGGTCACCTTCTCTCCTGAGGCCACTGAGAGGCCTGGCTGCACCGAGAGGGAGGGTCTGTCAGGGAGCCATCCTAGAGAGAGGGGAGTTGGTGTGGGGCTGCTGCTGATGAAGTTGTGACCTGAGAGTCAGCAGGCCCCTTTCTGGGACCCTCCTTGCTGTCTGTCTCTGTTTTCTCTGCATCTCCCCCTCCCATCCCATCATCTATTTCTCTCTCTCTGTCTCCCCCCCTCCCTCCCCCCTCCCTCCCTCCCTCTCTCTCATCTCTATCTCTATCTCTCTCTCTCTCCTTGGAGACCCCACACCCCTTGTCCTGGCCCTCACCACCTGAGATCCTAGCAGGGCCTGAGCCAGACTCTGGTCCTTGATTAAACCCATACTGATTGCTCACCTGCCACCAGGATGTCCAGGGGGTCGCTGGGGGCTGACCACTCAGAAGAGAGTCTGTGTCCACCATAGCACCTGTACTGGCCCCCGTGGGTACTGCTCACAATGCCCAGGTGGAATTCGGCCTGAGAGAGCCCAGCTTGGGGCTGCAGGACAGTGATCTGGGGAAGGTCCTGTTCCCCTTCCTTGGACAGAGTGAATCTGTCATAGCCGATGTCAGAGTGACACTGGAGGGTCAGGCTCTGTCCAGAGCCCACAATGGGGCCCTGCTGGGTCAGGAGGGAGGGCTTCCCTGAGACACCTGCAGGGAACAGACAGGAGTGACAGGGCTGCTCCTCCCATGAACCCTCCTCCTGGCCTGGTCCCCAGGTCCCACTGTCTCTCTCTCTGTGTTTCTGACCCAGGAGCCCCTGTGCTCCCCTCACCCCACCTCTCACATGGGGCTCCCCTCCCTGCAATGAATTCAGTAACCAGTCTACAGACTAAATCCATGCAAGAGGCAAAATAGAGAATATTTTTACCTGGGACCAGGAGCTCCAGGCGGTCACTGGGCTGTGACCACACCTGGGGTCTCTTCCTGTTATATCCATAGCATCTGAAAGTCCACCTGTCACTGGGGGTCACTGGACCCACAGAGAACACGGCCTGGACCTGCCCACCTGGTTCTCGCTGTGAGTCTAGGGTCCAGGAGAGCCTGTTTTCTCCTTCCTTAGTAAGAATGAACCTGTCAAATTTCTGCCGTGAGCCACACTGGAGGGTTATGGTCCCTCCTGAGGTCACAACAGGGCTGGACAAGGCTGAGAGGCTGGGTTTGCGTATGGATCCTAGAAGAGGGAGAAGGCAGTGTGACAGCGTATTAAATGGGGCTGACATTTTCCAGGGCTGGGCTGTGAGGGGGAGACCCCCTGAGACCATCCCCTTTCCTGAAGACAGATCCTGAGGCTGGGACCCCTGAGTTTCCTCTCACCTGTCACCACCAGCTCCAGGGGGTCACTATGCTCTGACCAGCCTGTGTGGGTGAGATAGGAGCAGCGATATTTCCCTGCATCATACTCTGTCATGTGTGTGATGGAGAAATTGACCTTTTCCCCTGGATGCAGTGACTTCTGTCTGCCCCAGGGGTGTGGGCTTCCCTCTTTATCCATACAGAACTCCTGGACCTGTGGGGTTCCCTGACACCAGAGAGTCACAGAGCTCCACAACAAGGTTATATGGCCTGGCTCAGCCCAGAGGGTGGGTTTGGGGAGGGTCCCTGGAAGGAATCAGAAGTTGGGTCACAAGACATTTTCACCCCAGTGCCCAAATCTCAGCCTCAGAACCTTCCCAGACGTCCCCCATCCATTAACTGAGAACTTATGTTCTCCACCCCCAGCTGCCTGATGGGAAAGCCCCTTGTCCTTTATGTGGAGAGAATCCTGGGACCCCTGAGAACAGACTCACCCGCCTGCACTGGCATCCTCAGGCCCACACTCAGCCCTGCAAGAGAGTCCCTGTGAGAGATTTGCCCTGAATCCTCAGAAGAACCCTCCTCCCCAGGAGCCTCCTGAGTCCTGGGGTCCTGTCAGAGCAGGGCTTCCCCTCCCCCCTCACATCTCACCAAGGCAGAGCAGGGGTGTGAGGCTGGGGGGCATGGTGTCTCCTCTCTGAATCCAGCTCTGCAGAAGGAAGAGTCCACGGTGTGTTCAGTGTAGACAGACTCACAGGGTGTGGCCAGTGGGAGGTTGTCCGTCCCCATCACGGGGTTGTTACGTCAGTGCCCCTGAGGAAGCAGAACAGTGTCTCCCCAGGAGTCTGGCCCTCATTCTCTTGATGCAGGAAGATTTAAACCTGGAGCCTCCTCAGATGCCCCTTGCAGGTGAGGTGACCCAGGGCATGTCCTTCCAGGTGAGAGTCTCCCCCATAGGCTGCCTTTCCCACCTCACACGGCCATCAGCCCCTCCCTGTGGGTCCTCCCCAAGGACAGTGGTCACCTAGGCCCTGGAGTTGCTTCAGGAAGACAGGGTTCCCTGTTCTTGCAGAGCTCAGATCAGCAGGGACATGGTCTCCTCCTCACTGTGCAGTTCAGGCAAGTGGCACTGTGACAATGAGCACAAAGGACAGACACAGGGAAGTGAGAGAAGGACATACACCCCTTCCCCTGGCCCCAGAGTGTGATTTTCTCTCTATCCCAGCCTCTCTCACTGACTTCTCATGATTTCCTCGCAACAGCATCCACCCCACCTTCCTAGGGACAAGCCTCTGAGTGACCCCTGCCCCTTCAGTGCCCCTTGTTTCCTTGTTCAAGCCTCTTCCTCATGCTGTGGTCCTGCCTTCAAGATTCAGGGGATATTGATTTGGGTTACAGTCGTAATTTTCACTTAAAACAAATATTTGTTTAAATGCTCATCATCCAATGTTCATGTATCCTTGAGTGGTAATGTCCTGTCTGTGCCTCTGTTTCCTCATCCAGATGATATTGTCACAAAGCCCAGTCCCCACAGTGGCTGTGGACCAGTGGTGCCGGTTCATGGGATGGAGACTTCCATTTACAGACCAGATGGAGACATGAGTGGGCTGGGACATGAGAGAATCAAGGTGTCTAGTGTCAAGGGCAGGGTTGTTTCATCCACTTCAGACCATGTCTTCACTGAATACCAAGCACAGGTAGTCATGATAGCTCTAAAATATGTACACACAGAGAGGTGTGGGAAAAGGGAAATGAAAGTTCCCCAAATGGAAGAGACTCACATGGAGGACAGACACTGACTGAGTGGCCCCCAGTGCCCAGGCTGTTTTGCAGTACATGATTCAGAGGGACTGGAATTAGAAAACTAAGATAGGTGGAGACTAGAAAGAGGGCATCCAATGAATACTGTGAGTTTTGGGAGGAACCAGGAGACTTATCCTCTGTGTGCCCTAGAGACCAAGGTTTAAGCATTTCACAGAGGAGCAGAACCTGGCAAGGCCAGGGAGCATGCGTGTGGTGTACGGTGAAACATGTGTCTGTTTATTCATGGCAAGAGGGGCAGATTGATGGGAGCTGATTTTCAAACAAACACAGTACTAAAGATGGGGTAAATACATTCATGGATTTGATTGTAGGTGTAGAATTCTGTACTGACTCAAATATTTATCAAAAGCCAGGTGAAAAGGTCAGAGGGGAATGACCCATTAGTATGACAAGAAGGAGTCAGGTCTGACCTGCTGGAACTCTTGTGTCTGGTGTGAAGTCCACCACATCAGGCCCTGGCTTCTGAGGTCTTGGTGTGTAGAATTAAAACCAACAGGGAATTCCCACACCTTGTATTGGAATTATATCCTTTATCTGCAAAAAGGAAATGTGTTCAACTATCCTAATGAAAATAAGACATTCTCAGATACACCAGGTCTCCAGTACTTTATTGTTCACATGCTTACAGAAAGCAAACAAAAATAGGCACTTAAACCAAAAGAATAATGGACAAAACTGGAGTCAGTGAGATGCAAAAGTGAGAAAGATAATGACAAAATAAATAAACTTTGCAAGAGTACATGTGTATATACATTCACATATATATTTATATTTAAGATGGGTTAAAATATTTGGAGTGTGTGTGAGTGAGAAAGAAAGGGTATAGACACACACACAGCTTTGGGAATTAGATACCAAGAGTTAAGTTAATGTGTAATAACCTTTTCTTATACAGAGGAGAGGAGGCAGCAAAAGTGGTTCAAAATCATAAGTTCCAATACTAACAGTGAGGGTAACTACCCTAATTAGAAATGCACACACAATGTCGAAATTCATTGATGTAATAATATATAACACAGTCAATTCAAAATTGGTCTGGAAAATTTTAAAAAGAACTATTTAAAATGAAACTTACTATTTAAATAAAAAGATGGCAAACATTCAAAATAATTTATTTATCATCAGACATTGAGGCTTCTGCACAAGATGGTGGCATAGGTAAACATGGAACTCACACCCTCCCACAACCACTGCCAAATGACAACTAAACTACACAACAATTATCCCTCAGAGTCATCTGAAAGGTAGCTGCACAGAAGTCCCCCAACTAAAGGTTTAAAAAGAGCCACATTGAGACAGGTAGGAGGGCTGCAGGCATGCAATGGGCTGGTGCCACACCCATGTAGACAGTTCGAATTCGGGGGTTATATCTTGACTGCGGAGGTCCCCCCTATGGAGCAAGGGGTCCCAGCTCCACACCAGGTTCCTCAGCCCAGGGGTCCAGTGATGGGAAGTGATGTCCCCATCGCTTCTGGTTGTAGAAACCAGCAGGGATGGTGGCTGAGTCAGGCAGAGGAAACTGGAGTCTCAGGTGTCCTATTAATGGGCCTGTGCATGGACTTACTGGAACTCAGTCCCTCTGAGCTCCAGCACTGGCCGAGCACCATGAAAGGCACCAGGGACATATGGTGAGGAAGTGAATTGTCTGACTTTGGGGACTGGGCTGGAGGGGCAGCTTCTCCTAGACAGACATGCTGAGTGCTCCCCACAGGCACAGGCAGGTGCCAAATCTGAGTCTCCATCAACCTGGCTTACACTGTTCACCCCACCCTGATGATTCCCTGAGGCTGAGGCTCTGCCCCACCCAACTTGTCAGCACACTCTAGCCACTTCCAGGGTATTGTCATACAAACAGCCTGTCTTGGCTCACACCAAAGTCTCCCAGAGTCTGCAAAACCCAAACCAGCAGTGTCTGGGATCAGTGTACCCTGTACCTCAGCTAAGTGTCCCCAGGCCAGGCAGTAGTGGCAGCCAGCCTCAGGGGGCAGTGTGGCCTCTCCCTGGCACCTACAAGCCCAGCACAAGTGGCAGCCATTAGCAGATTTCTTGGTAGCTCATGCTTGGTGTCCCCAGGATGGGCACAGATGGTAGCTGAACTTGGCCTGCACATCCCAGGGGGTCTTGAAGCCAACACACCCAGTGGACAGCTTCAGACCACACCAGAGTAACACCTCATCACCCCCACCAGTGGCACACTCAAGGGGTGGAGTCAGCAGACACTGAAGCCTTGCTGAAGTGAGTTCTGCCCCATGGGGTCCGCTCCTTCCCAGGTGTTCCTCTGCTGGGTTGCTGGCCCTATCCTTGCTGTTCACCAGCCTGCAGTGAGTTCCTCCCATTGATGTGCCTTCAGCAGCTTTGTAAGTCTTCCATGATTGGCACAAATATATAAAGAGATCAAAACCAAGAACCTACAACCAAGATAACTCTATGCAGAAAAGATGACTTTTAGAATCCAAGAATACATACAGAGCTTTCCAGACAAGAGAAAGCAAAAGGAGTTTATCATCACCAAACCAGTATTACAAGAATTGCTAAAGGGTCTTCTTCAGGTAGAAAAAGAAAATGGCTAAAATTTTGAAATGAAATGGAAATAAATGTGTGTCTATGAACCATCAGTTTCAATGCTAACAGAGAACATGCTCCATTCAAAAACTATAGGGGAGCAGAATGAACAAGGAAACAAGACATGCTGCCTGCTAAAGACTCACTTCAGGTGGAAACACACACACAGACTGAGAGTCAAAAGATAGAAAAATAAATGTTCTGAAAATAAAAACAAAAAGAAATTGGAGTAGCAATACTTACAGCAGATGAAACCTTCTTTCCAACAAAGGCTATAACAAGAAGGAAAGAAGGACTGGCACTGAGAAGATTTAAGAAATAGAAATGTGTAAGACAACACCAGACAGCAGTAGAAAAACAAGCAAAATTCTTTAACATGCAACTTACAAAACTTGCTATTCACATGTATGGTGAACTTTAAAAAGATTTTGAGCTTCATATTTCACCAGAGAGTGAACATTAACCCACAGCATCCTATTAATACGTACTTAGAGTTGCTGTCACAGTACTTTTCTTTTTAATGTGAATTTTAGAATCAGCTTGTCACTATTACAAGCATAATCTTGTGGTGCCTCATCTTAGCTGGATTTTTTTCAAAAGGTCCCTGTGAAGATATTTAGTCTTGAAACTAGGATTTGAAGGTCTGACATTTTTGTCCTGGAAAATGCAGAATTGTGGTCACTCATGTATCTCAGGCTCATCCACTCAGATACTCCATTCTACCCAGCAGACTTTCACCTCCTTCTAAACAGGACACTGTTTGTGAAACAGGAGTATTTCACATTTTTAGGCTACACCTAATCCTGTTGATACATTTGACAGAATTCAACAAAGAATCAGCCCCCAGGCACTCATGGATACTCTTCTGTGACTGAAATGAGTATGAGGGGAAATCTCATTTCCTGGACAAGGTGAATTTATCTTCCCATTGTCTACAGCTGAATTACTACCCTACTTCCAAGAGTGCCCATCCTTGGGCCTTAACTGAACACCAAGTTCCTGTTATGTCTTTTGAAGCAAGATGTACTTTGTGCTGTGGAATGTGTTCTGGCTTCTCAATCCACCCTAAGAGCAAATGACTACATGTGGTTAAAATGTAATTGTCGTGCATGTCAACTATGGAAGAAAGTGTGTACCTACACAATATCCTGCACACAACATGGAAACCAGGTAGTCCTACTTATATTCCCCTTGTAAACTAAGTTCAAGGACCCCTGGATAAGATACATGAGCTGGCTGACCCCTAAATGTGTGGAGCTGTCTGGCTCCCAGTGCTGAATTCATTCCCAGCCTCTCAGGATTAACATAAGAAAGGAGAAGTCATTATAGGTGGTGAGGGTCCATGGTCTTAAGGAAAACATTTTAGATACATATAA